TGGGTTAAGAAATTATATCTGCGTCTTAACGTAATGAAATCTTGTTCCAATTCAGCATACTGTTGATTCATCGTCATAATACTATCTTTAATCATCAACAGACGATCAGAAATTCTTGAAATTAAAGGGTCATCGTTATTGTGATGAACATTGGATGAAGAAATATTTAAATTTAGGTGATCATTATAAATTTCAGGTGATAACGCGGTCAAATTATAAAGTAATTGCTGCTGCTGTTGTTGTTGTAAAGTTTGAATCATCGTCATTACGTTGTTATTGTTGTTCCTATTTTGATTCCATTGCCCATAATTTTGCATTTGTTGGTGAACGTATCCACAACTTAGATTTTGTGGTGTGTGATCGGAATTTTGAACAGATTGATTGATATTTTGAATTGGCAGAAGAACCTGATCGAGGTTTGGTTGTTGATAATTATTAATCATTTTATTTATTTTATAATTATAAGCCTTTATTTATTTTATAATTATTTGTTTTAAATATGTTAATTGTTTTTTTTTTAAAAAAAGAAAATTAGAAAAACGGAAATTAATAAAACCAACGTTTTTATAATCGTTTTTAAGGATAATCAACCCATACAAAGGAAAAAACAAAAACAACTGTCAACTTGTTAATGAAATCATTTGTAGTACAAATGTTCGCTTTGTTGCTGTATGCACATATAGTAATTATCTTTCAAATTTTTAAAATCTCCATGTTTTTCATTTAGAATAATTAATAGTAATGATAATAGTAATAATGGGTAATGGTAATAGTAATGGTAATCGTAATCGTAATTTAAAAAAATTTGTGTTACGAAAAGTTGATATATTTAACAATTCAAAATGACATATAGAAAAAAGAATTTGGAATTTGGAGTAATGTGCAAGAACAATGTTTTAGCATTTTTAAAACTTAAAACTGAAATCAAAGTTGAAACTGCCTTGAGATTTTTACGAGTGGCTCTTTAGTTAAATATTTACAAAACTTGTTAAATTTGCTGGTAAAAACCGGCTAGATCTGTGTCAATCCTCAACCCTGCTTGTCAAGGCCACCTTTTTATTGTTATAATAGAATTTTGAAATAAAAAGGGCATTTAGTAATTGGATTCTTAAGAGGAGAGGAAATATTTTTATTTTGGAGAACATCACAGAAAAAATATTTGGATCCTATAATCAATGGATTTAAAAATTATTAGCAATTTAATATCAAGTAGAATTTATTCTATTATCGACAACTAACGAGATATATATTGTTTATACGTTCCACGTGTAAACTGTTTTGAGCATATAATATTGCTAACGCCAATTATTTACAATTATGGCTTAACTTTTGGGTTACTCTTGTCAGTTAATTGCAGGTAAATAATTTGGTGCTTGTCAATTAATTAGTTTACGAATTTACTTTGGTTCTCGCTTACTGCCTCTTTCTTGTATCTAGAAGCCTTCGGCGAACCTGTAAGCAAATTACGTTAATAATTGTTGCTAATGCTCACTAGTTAGTCCTAACTTTTGCTTACAAATAAAACGTGTCCTCTTATCAAAACTCCATAATTGTTGCTTTTTTACTAAAGCGTTTCGTTTTAAACAAAAGTTTATTGATGATAATTTTTATTTTATTTTAATGTTAATGTGATATTTGTTTCCCCTTGCGTTTTCAAGCGAGGATCCGAAGTTGTTATCACTTTTTACGTTGTCGTTATTTCAAAACTCTTTGTATCAAAAATCTTCGCTCCTTCACAATCCTTCCATTATACCCTTTCAACAAAGGAACATAAATATTGATACTGAAGTATTATTCCAATTACGGGCCTTTATTCGACATAATGATCTGGAAAAAAAGAGAAAACTTTGATTGTTGGTGGAATGGAAGCTTCAATATAAGAAAAGTTTCTACTGGAAACAGAAAATTTACATACTATATGCAAATTGATGGTATAAATGTTTCTGTCCACCTACAAAAGCCAAAACAAATCGATGATGATAACGACGAGTATGAAGAATTAGATTGGAAGTGCATATAGTAGTTGGAATAAGGGATTTATGATCAAGATGAGAACGTGACAAAGAATTTCTGGGTCTAAAAAAGAGATGTCTGGATGAAAAATAAACAAGCCATTGTCTGAGGTAAATTTTTTTACACACTGATACGAGTACTAATTAAATCTAATGGCTGAATTAAACATTATTATTAAATATCATATAAACAAAGAAACTCAGAGTCATTAGAGAAATGGTATTTCCGTTTCTATATTGTTATTGTTACACTTGCATAATTGGCTAATTTGAATTTCACACGCGTGAATTTCAAATTGACATTTCAAATTCAACATGTAACACACAAGTGTTGAGCACAAAAAATACGAATAGGTTTTCCAATACTAATACTAATACCCTCTGTTCTTTCGATTTGCAATTTCCAACCACGGTATCTCCCTGGAATGCTTTTTACATGGTTTATTTACCTGATTTATAACAAAAAAAGACAATGGGCAAAATAATTACCAATAGTGATGAGAAAACAATTACTAATTTTTATACTGATTTTTATTTTATAATCCCACGCCCTTTTCTCTTCACGTTTTAAAGGTCCCTCATTCTTCTGGTCCCATAAAGCAGCTAAAGTTGGAGTTGAGAAAAAGAGATGTAAAGTAAAAACTATAAATGAATTTAGAACTAATAAAATATGTTCTAAATGTGAAGGGTGGTTTTGTAATCATCAGCGGTTTTAGACACTCCGGGTATGTGAAATACAACAGATATGTAAAGGCCAGGCCCTCTGGAATCGTAATGTTAATGCTGCCCGAAATATAAGGAACATGAATAAGAATGAGGGAGAAAGGCCTGAGATTTTTAGGAGGGACTTCAATTGATCCACTGCTGCACATGATTGTGACAGGAGAATCTGATCGGGCAACAATGGCGATGAGGTTGATAGAGCGTGAATAGCAAAAATAATACAGTTTGATTGTTCTTTCCGATTTAGCACAACAGTTTATTTGATAATTATCTATATTTATATAAATACTTTTTTAGAACATAAAAGATCAATTTATAATTCATAAACATCCTTACGAGCAGTCAAATATAAAATAAGCAATAAAATAATTTGTAACGTCATTGCTGTTATACAAAAAATTTTTTTTTTCTGGAAAATGAATTTATTTGTCCTATTCACTGTTGTATTAATTTCAACTTCTTCTACTAACGAATTATTCAACTTTATCATTTGGATTATTATTGGATATTTATAATTATGAGTAAATAGCTAATATGAAGAAATGATTTGATAACTGAAAATCATTAAAAACAGAAAATGTTCTCAGGATTATGAAAATATCATAGAAACTCACTATGTCACCAACTATAAACTACAAACTATATTGTTCTTTTTGATAAACTAGAAGAACATCAAGAAACCGGTAAGGAATGGGAAAAGAAGATATATAATTAAACAAAACTTGGAACCAAAAGAAATAATGAAGAATTCGTAGATTAAAGGTCGAATCGGCTGAAAGTTTATTAGTTAATGAAAGAAAAGAGAAGCAGACAAGATAAAAGTAAAGAAGGATCAACCATTACAAGAAAAAACTAATTTTGAAATAAACCAGAACAATGAAAATAACGAAACAGTATGACAATATAGCAAACAATACAAAACTTGGCAAACTCCAAGGGGATACCCGCCCATAGAAAACCTTACTCTGAACCAAAAGAAAATTAGCAAAAAAACTTTTCAACTAAAGAAATAGGTACATAAAGAGGTTAGTAAACGAAAGCGAAAACGAAAACGAAAAATCAAGGAATGACAACAAAATAATAATATAACAATCCCAAGAATATTTCATAACTTAAAATTTTAAGGGAAGAAGAAGAGATATAACATCAAAGATCTCACTATATACAAAAATTAAAAATAATAATAATTCCCTTTGTAAAAATTAGTTACTCATTATTTAGATAATATTAATAATTGGTCAACTTAGTCTTTTTAAAATCTTTGTAATAATAATTTATTGTTGTTACTGCTGTTTCTGTTGTCGATTATCCTCTTCTATATTGAATTCAAAATATTCTTTAGTAAATATGTTAAATTTGCTAATTCTTTCAATAATATATTATCTTCAGGAATCTTCTTTTTATTTTGAATTACAATTAGTGTACTTCAAATCAGCAAGTAATATGATAAAGGTAATTAGCATTAATAATAATGCTACAAATATTAATTCTCTACACCAGCAAATTAATGATATATACTTTAATAAACCTCTTCATCAACACTAAAAACCTTCAGAAAATCACTTTATTAAAACTTTCTTGTATTATCATATCTTTACACTCGATAATTTCTTCTTTATATCCAATCTAAAATACATAAATATATATTATTAAAGAGATTTGAGTAATAATAGCATGATGATGATTATTATCGATTATTTCATTTAACCTTTCCCATTCTTTTGATGATACTTTTTTTTCAAAAAATTATATTCTCTTCATCCGAAATCCATACTAATACATTCTCAGTATCTATCATTCTTAAAAAAATCCCAATTTTATTGGGCATCAGGGTTCAAATTTTAATGACTGGTATTATTATTATACAAATAAAAATCAAAGTGTGCTTGATTTTCCAAATAAATGTGCTATATAATAAATAATTTGTGTTGATTTTTTTTGAAAAAATATAATTAATAAGTACCAAAGAATCTAAAGAGAGAATGGTTGTGAAAATTGCTAATATCGTATTTTGCTGGGGATAAGCAACAATTCATGTTGGTTTTTTTTATTTACGGAGGCTTAAATATCAAAATAATAATAAATAGAAATTTTTTGATAATTGCGTACAACACGTCGTGGTGAATTTAATTATTTACTTGTGCAATTTAAAAATAATAGTGCTTTGTATGTGTATATATATGTAGTTTAATAAAATAGTATAAAAATATTATTCTTAAAAGTTTCTACTTGCATGTAATTTTGCTTTGAAAAAAATTAAATGTCATGTCATCAATAAACACAAATACGAATTCCAAGTTTAATTTTAACACTGACTGCTTAAAACTTACTCCCGAAAAATTAGTAGAGTGGAGTAACAAATCAAATCAAACAACTGATAACGATTCTTCTTTATTACAACCTTTTAAAAAGAAAATATTAACCAATGAACCACGACACTTGTCCATAAAAAAAGGTCATAAAACACCCCAAAATTCAAAAATCGATTCTGATAGCGATTCTGATGACCATGATCATGATACATTTAGTAACGATGTTATAAATGCCAGTAATGAAGAAAAATCTAATTCAGAAATGATAAATAACCAAATCGATAGTGGTCCAGATGTTCTTTCAAACAATGATGATATATTTGAAGGATTTGGTAATGAACTCAATAATGGCGACAGCGGTGGTGATAATGGATCAGAGATTCAAATGTTTCACGGCGATGATGATTCTAGCGATTTGAACCATTATTTTCTTGAAGAGTCAAATGGTCCAAATAGCAATAATACGATGATGGAAATCGATGATTATGATTATCATAATGATTATTCAATTGAAAATTTGTCAAATGAATTCGATGTCGATAACGAAGAAGATTCTGCTACTACTGCAACATTTAATTTGGTTGGAAATGGAGAAACAATTGATGATGATGATGAAACTATATTAAATATACAACAAGATAATGTTGATGATAATCAAGCCCATTCGAATAATATTGCTTCCGGGAAATCAGAAGAGATGAAAGTGAGATCAAAACATGATAATCAACATGATAAGCATGATCGTAATAAACATGATAACGATTATGTTAATAATTTTATAAACAATAGCAACAATAGTAATACAAATATATACAATATCAATAATAATGAATTCTCATCATCACCATCACTATCACCACCACCATCACTATCGTCATCGCCATCATCATTTTTATCATCATCACCATTATCATTTAATGAAATCAAGGTAAGCAAAAAATAATTGTTTACAATAAACTATGTGCCTTATTAACATTAAATTTTTTTAAAATATGTAAAGAATATCTTAAGGAACATTGAAAAATGTAAGTGCATCATACAATATGTGTGTGTAAAGATACAATATCTATAAATTTATCATTGTTTTATATAGCTACTCAAAAAATTCAAAATCAACAATTTAAGTCAAATCAAGAAATTCATTATATTGAACGATCTTTAGAATCTTTTGAGAACGAACTAAATTCTACATATGGTGATTAAATGACAAGTTAAATTAATTTTGTTATTTTTAGTTTTTTTATTAATGGAATTTTTTATTTTTGTCTATGAATAATAGAGAAACTATGTAATTTAAAGTGTGATTTCTTAAATACATTGAATATAAACACCTTTGAAGATATAAAACAAATGCATTTAAATGATGATGATTTGGCGAAGGAAATGAAAGAAAGTATTTAATAATGTAAAAATATTTATTGACAAAGTGAACAAATAAATAATATTTATTTCGATAGCCTCCATAATATCAGCAGAATAATCAATCCAAAAACATAAAATACATAGACTCCTTTTGCTTTTCACTTACCAAATAATGATTTTTTAACGTTCTGAGCTAAAGATTTTCTTGATTGTTGGAACTTTGTCGTTTCAGAAAATTTAATTTCTGTAGCGTTACGAACATATTTAATAGTTTGCCCTTTCTCATTGCTCCACTACTTCTAGACCTGACGGAACAAATTGCTTTGTAGGATTACCTTCCACAACTATCAAGTTACAACCCGTGTCTCCTTTTCCCGCATTTACAACATTATTTAGCTTGAAACATTGATCATATCTATTTTTACACCTTCAGTACCTGGGCTTGAGATAAAGTCAGGGTTTTAATCGTCACCAAATACATAATCAATTAACTTCAAATAACTAAGTAATGATTCTCTAATAAAACTATCTCTTCATAATCACTTTTTTAATGATCTCGTTTGTTTCTTTCTTCTCATTTTTAAAAGAATTTTAGTGCATAACAATAATATTATAAATTATCAAAATTAAACTGGTGGTGATCGAAAATTTTTCCAATATTTAGCACACAACGATATGAAAGATGGTGATAAAACTATTAGATATGACAATATCACGTTTTACCTCCAATCAATTTATTTATCCTCAAAAATTATACTGACTTCCGAACCTCGAAGGATGCGATATAGTGGAAAATTCAATTATTAAAATTGCTTGCCTTTGGTATTAGGTTCTTTCCCTCTGTGTAATATTAAACTCAAAACTTCTGAAATTATTATACAGATAGTGATTGCCAAATACATCCATATTGGTCAGCTATCAGACATCATTCTAATGATAAGTTACTATGCAGAATATATAATCCATTAATTACAAAGAATTGATTAAAAAGTTAAGAACATTTATTTATTTGCCTAATAAAATGATGACCATTTTCAACAACAAAAACAACACTACAACAGATGAAAGAACTTTTTGAAGCTCTTTTATGATCGCAGAGTTTTCGTCCTAAAGGATAGCGAAGAAGGTATCTGTCTGTATATGAATGGGTTCCATTAAACCTCACGCGAAAGTTGTTTATTTTATCGGAAGTGATTTGATGGAGATCAATGAATTACTTTCTTAAAACTTCATCTTTGTATGTATGGTCTTGACTATACATGAAACCAGAATTAAATTCCCAAGCAGAAATATTTCGACTTGAGACAATTACATAGTAAAAATCAATTCCGGTTTCATGCATATTCTTAGCATTGCATATTATTAATTGGGTGATGCAATTTATTTTAATTGATAAATTTAAAAATACAAATAATAAAAAGAAATAAATGTTATTTAACAACAATATCAACAAGATCTATGTTATGAAACAACAGATTCAACAATTGATTTAAAAAAAACAGTCAAAATAATCAAAAAATTTGTAATATGGTGCGCGAAGTCTATAACCACCACTTAATGCGTCATACGGCCAAATTTCACCAAAAAACTCAAAAAAAATCATTAAAAAAACGATTAATAAAAAATTTATAAAGTCGTGTGATTTTTAAAATATCTTAACATTGCTTGGACTTTTTCTATGAGATTTGTATCTCTTTACTGCATATAAAGCTTCTATACCTGCCAATCCATTTCTGTAAGCATCCATAAATATCCAAGACCTGTGAGCAAATTTTCGAATTTTTTTGAGAGAAGCAGAATGGAACAGTTTTTTCTAATGACTTAAAAGGTATAATCACAGTTTTCATGTGTATATTATTTTGCTGCACCCCAAATAATTCAATAAAATTAAGTTCACAGTGGAACTTGGGGTAAAATATGACTTTATTACCATAAGATTTGATAGTTTCTTCAATTAAAGATTTTTGATTAACAAAGTCAGGTTGGAGTTAAATATTTTTGACGCAGTGATTTTTTACAGCTACACAATACCAAATTTAGAAATGATAATCGTAAATTATTATCTTGAACATAGTAAAATACGTGTACTAAAAATGAATAGAACTCGATAACCAATCAATACTTTGAAAAAATTCTCTGTTATGATAAAGTTTGAGTCCCAATTATGCAATACAGAGTTGTTTTTAAAAAGGATCGACATAAATGGACTTCTATTCTTTCAAAAATCACGTGCAAAATGGTGGTTATAGACTTCGCGCACCATAGAAAAATCAATAAAAAATATTTAGAGAGAATTTTTTGAAAAATTTAGTTGCTAAACGATTTATTACGAATCATCTATCGTCATAGTAACAAAAAATAGAAGAAAAAAATATCATTGTATATAAACATCACTACAAACTAATAAAATATTATTCTATTCTCTCTCTTATATTCATTCGCCTTCCATCGCTTATAATATATAATAACAATAAAACCTAATTAATCTAATTAATTAATCAAATAAAAATTGATAACTATTATTTTTTTTTTTTAACATAATTTTTTTTGATATATAGAAATAAAAACGATATTCATAATTTTTTTTCGTTTACGATTGCGTGGCCTTTTTTTTAGAACTTGGCTTGTTCAACAATGTTTTATGAATGTGCTATATTAATTTAAAATTAAATTAAGTTGGCGATTAGTTATAATTGCAATTAATAAAAAATCGAATCAAGACATATATAATATAGTTATTATATAGAAAGATATTTACCGGTAGTACACCACCGCCTGCAATTGTGGCTTTAATAAGCGTGTCCAGTTCTTCGTCGCCACGAATAGCAAGTTGTAAATGTCTTGGTGTAATACGCTTTACCTTCAAGTCTTTAGATGCATTTCCTGCTAATTCAAGGACTTCGGCTGTAAGATATTCTAAGATTGCGGCAGAATATACAGCGGCTTTTGCTCCTACTCTTGCATTATTTAAAGTTTTTTGCTTTAAATATCGGTGAATGCGTCCTACTGGAAACTAGATTTTTAAATAAATAAATATTAGGTTTGGGATTAAGTTAGATAATTTTTATTAATTCTAAATTAATAGGTTAAGATCAACAAATTTAAATGTATATTATTTTTAATTTCCAATTATAAAAAATCTCGACCGAGTAATGTAATTAAGGTTTTTTTCCATGTTACCTGTAAACCAGCTCTCTGTGATCTAGATAGGACAGGGAGTTTTTCTTTCTGATGACTAGGATCGCCATTAGCATTTTCTTGTGGTGGTGGTGCAGATGTGTTATTAGGTACTTGTTTATCGGTAGTAGCCTAAATTTTTAAAGAAAAATTATTATATAAATAAAATATATATCATTTCGTTACCATCCGAGTTTGTTGATGATAATAAATTAATGGTTAAAAAAATATATTATTTGACTGATTTGTGAAAAAATTTAAGTTAACGCGATTATAAAGAATTTTTAAAAATCGTAAATTTTGACTATTATTATTATGAACGTGTGATATTTATAAATTCGTTTTTCATATATTTAATATCACTTATTTATTAAATTAAAAACTATAAATCTTTTTTTACGGCTAACTTTTTTTTCCTCATTCAAAAATAAAAAAAATTTCTTACCATTTTTTTTCGAAAAATACTCTTGAAATAAAAACTATATTGTAATTATAATTGTCTAGTTTTTTTTTAGAAAGGTTTTTATTAAGAATATATATTTTTTTATTTTTTTTTAAAAAAATTTTCGTTGATTTTTTTTGTTTATTTAGAAAAATAATAACAAATCGTAAATAATATAATAATTTTTGCAAGGGATAATAATAATTTTATTGGAAAAAAAAAAGAAAATAATTTTGGGAACAAATTAAAAAAAAAAAAATTTCTAATCAACTGATGATTTAAATTAAAATAAAATAAATAAATACTGTTGTCGATCATTACGTGAGTTATCACACGAAGTTTAATTTAATTGGTCTGATGATCATTATCATTTTGATCATTTTGTATGCAACTTTTTATAAAAAAGGTATCGTGTATCGTTTTTCTTTGACAAAAAAAAAAACACGAAATTCAAAAAGGTTCCACAAATCTTTTTATGGAATAAAATATTGATGGAAAAAATTAAGTTAAAGGTGTATATATAAATTAAATTAGGTTAGATTAGTTGAATATTTTCTTTCATAACAATCCAAGGCAAGTTATCAACATCTTTAGTATTTTTAATTAGATTTCCTGAATATTTATCAATTTCCCATCCCCTAATTTCAACTTTAATATTTTCAGGATTGACATTTTCCCATGAATAAACCATCAGAGTAATTTCATTAAAACCACTATTATTGCTAGAATTATTTTTCTTTACAACTTTTTGTTGGCCTTCGTCATCATTACTATCTTCATGAGTAAAACTTTGCTTATTTTCGATGAAATTATCATCAGAATGATTTAATAATCCATCCATCAAATAAAAATTTTGTTGTGAGCAATCCCCATTACCATAATATCTACCAATCAACACCCCATTCAAGTAAATATAACTTGTAAATCGACCAAACAATACCAATCTTAAAGGTGCTTTAATTATATTTTGGAATTTTTTTTGAATTGGATGAGTAAACTTGAAATTCCACCATCTTACACCATCATCTTTTATAACGCCATAAGTATTAATACTATTTGTTTCAGTTCCATCATATTGTTTATCATTATTATCATTGTTATCATCATTGTCATCGCCATCATTATTACAAAGAGGTTTCCATTCAGCCTCCTCATCATCAACAAATTCATCAGGAATTCCACTCGTTATATATGCATTACCCAATTTCCTAACATCAACTCCACAAATATACCATTGAATCTTTGTAGATTTTAATCCTGATATCGATGATGAGATTACACCCCTTGGATTATATGCATCGTTAAACACTACTGACTGTCTACTTAATCCCCAATTATCTACCAATATTACTATTTCATTATTATTGTTGTTATTATTACTACCTTCATCGTGGTGCTGTTGATTATTGTTTCCTACGAGCGATGATGATGATTTGTGCAAATAAGATGTGATCTCGTAATTTTTTCCACCCAAAGATGTCAATAATTCAGGCCCGGTCTTTGCACCTGGGAAAAAAAACTGTTTAGAATATGTTGTATGGCCTCCAACAAATTTACCGTTAACAAAAATTGTACATCTATGTCTCATGTTTATAGAAAGCTTTACTTTGCTTCTGTTAGAATAACTTGTATTAGGAAATTGTGTACTATACAATATATGTCCTGAAGTATAAAAATTCTTCAAAATGTTTCCATCTGATTTAAAATCTTTAATAGGTCGCCACTGAAATTCCTTGAAATTTGTTAATCGTGTGCCCCAATTGAAAAGTTGTGGCCTCAAATCCAATTTTACGGTGATTTTTGCTCCTGCTTTTAATTGTTTTTTAAAAATAAACGGTAGTGGAAAAATTTTATTTTGACCAGTTACAATATTTTCAGATGGAATTCTTGAAAATGATAAAATTGTGATTTCATCATCTTCTTCCACATACTCTGTCTCAATTGTCAAATTTTCTTTGTCGTAATAAACATACTGAGTTCCCCAACTAACAATTAAAGGTGAATGTGATTGATCATGCTGATTACTGTTATTATTATTACCATCATCATCATCATAATTAGCATCATTGTTTGCTTGTGCCAAATAAGAACGATCATCAAAAAAAGCATGTAATGTGATAAGTGACTTCTCATCCAATATCAATAAATATAGTTTTTTTGTTTCATCATCAGGTTTCTTAATTGTCACATAGCCGACTTTTCCATCAAAAGAAAGGACATTAATTGAGTTTCCTTCAAGTTTTTTAATTGTTGGTTCGATGTTTCCTCCATCAATTACTATCTCACCATCAAAGGCCAATTCACCAACTTCGCAACTAGGAAGAATCCAAACTTCGCCGCGGTCTTGATAACTTTGATTTTGTGGAATATTAATCCTTAAATAAATTGGCAGGGTTGAGAATATCAGTTTTACACCTATTCTGGTTAAATAATTTCCCAATGCAATAAATGAAGTTTTATATTGACAATAACATTGCATGATGATTTTTATTTCTTTCTGTTGCTCTTCTTCTTGTTGCTGTGCTGATTTTTTCAAATAATTTATGGTTAATTGAAATTTTGTTTGACAAGATTTATTAAAATTTCGGACAAATGTGAATAACGCTCCGTCACCACCATTGTTGTTTTCTGATCTTCGTTGAAGATTAATGATGTTTTTATTTGATGTAGAAACATTAGGTTTTGTAACTAGCACAGTCCTTGAGAACAGATCAGAAAAGCTCCGCACAAATAATATTGTTAAACGCAAATTGTGTAAACGTGATGACATGTAACCATATTCACGAATACATGCAGAATAATCATATGAGGTGCACCCGTCACTAATTCATATACGAGGGAGGAGAAAAAATTATCACCATTAACAAAAAAAAATATTATTTGATAAAAATCATAATAATTTTTAATAATGAATTTACACATCTCCTAAAGTTCCCCAATTAGTTCCACCATATGTCATATAAATACTAGCAATAGTAGATCCTTGCGCAAGGACGGATTCATATACAAGTCTTGTAAAAAAATCACCATAAAAATTATAGACATCATCAAATGTATGTTTTAATTTATAACTTGTAAACCAACCACCTTGAAGTTCTGGAATGAATATTGGTGACTTTAAATTATAACGGTGATGATGGTGGTGGTAGTTGATAATAAATTTTAGTTCATATTAATAATAATAATAATAATAATTATTATTATTATATGATAGAATAATACCTTACTAGCATCATAGCCAAAGCCTCGAATTGTTTTTTCAAGTTTATCAATTGAATTCATAAAATCCTTAGGATCCCATTGTTTCCATTTACTTGGATCCTGTTCATCATAAAATGTCCAAGGTACAGGCGCGCTTGGTGGCACAAATACTATAATAATAATCAATCAATCGATCGATCGTTCAAATACTTAATTAATTATTCATTTTTTTTTTTATAAAAACCCTCCAAAAGAATACTATGATAATTAAATACCAATATATTTATCAAAACCATAAAGATCTAAACCAAAAGTCCTTCGATTAAAAAAATGAGTTGAAGGCTTAGCATCAAGTTCAGGTTTGGCAATAAAAGAACCAGATTCATCACCATCATTTGTAAACAATGGTACACTTATACCACAATTTCTTGCCACTTTACATAAGAACCGAAGTTCGTCATGTAAACCAAATGGAATAATTTTAACCAACTCGAACAACTCATTCTCGACTTGTAAAGCTATAATACAACCATTTGATTTTTCAGTTATTTGGTGTTTTGCCAGTATAGGTAAAATATTTTCAAACCATTCACGCTGATACTCTGAAAAGTTTTCATCATATTGTTTAAATGTGGTAAATTTTACATGACGCAATTTATCAGCTTTCTCCACCAACCAAATTGGAAATCCACCAGCTTGTGTTTCTGCGCAAATATAAGGACCAGGAGCAGCTAAAACATACAAATTCAATTTCTCGCATAGATTTAACAAATATTCGACATCTCTGTTATCGTCAAATTTATAAACTCCTTCGTCAGGACTGTGAAAACCCCAATGGAAATATATACGAATACAATTGAAACCACCAGCACAATATTTTTTCAAAATGCTTTCCCAACGAGACTTATCAGGCAGACGCCAATAATGAAATTCTCCACTGACTATTATAGTTGGACGACCATGAATGTATAAGCAATGTTTATCCCAATTCAATATGTGACCAAATCGACTCTTATCATATGCACATTCGGTGGTTGTGATTTCTAGGGTACCTTTTCTACTTTGAAGGAGCCAAATATAAAACGCTAGTAAGCCAGTCGGAACAACAGCCAACAGTGCCAAGAGTTCTATTAACATGGTTTTAATAATGATGATAGTGATAGTTTATACCATACAATTTAAAAAAATGAATGAAGATCAGTTAAAGCCATACACGTGACTGACTGGCCATTTATGATTAATTTAAAAATTTACATTTTAATGAAAAGTTTAATGTTTGTTAAATAAAAAGAATAAAAAGAATAATTTTTTTAATTTTTTTTAGTGAAGATTTTTTTATAAAACAGCAATAATAATAATAATAATAGAAATAAAATAATAGAGTAATAATAAATACAGAAAATATTAAATATAGTATTTCAAAGATAATTGATAGTTGCTAATAGATAATAATAATAGACGATGATGATAATAATATAATGTATCTCCATCATCTTTAAATCCTGCTTCAAAAAAAAATTTAAAATAAAATGATAATAAATTATGTACATTTATTTTCTAATATATAAAATATTTTCAATTATTATTAAATCATTTTTCTATATATAATATAAATATATAAATGAAGATGTATATTTTGTTTTAATATGCAAAGATAGTAATAATATATAAGTAAATATATAATAAAAAAATTTTTTTCTCACCAATTAAGTGCATCAGGAAAGAAAAAAAAACAAAAAGCTCTACTTTTCCCGATCAAATTTTATTGTCTGTCTAAAACAAATTAAAAAATGTTATATAATCTTTTTTTAGGGAGAGTCCGTGATCATAATATCCAGAGAATTGATTCGACCAAAAATATTTAAAGCCGATGCATTTGAAGGAAGAGTTGATCTTGTTCCTGTATGCCTGATCGGCGAAAGAGAAAATTCTCTATAACCTACCTCAGCCGCCAAGGCGCTTATAGTATTTAAATGAACGAGTGAATTTGTTGATGTGTTGGTTGCAGCGGTAGATGCAGTAGACGTACTAGTAGATGCTGTTGCTGTTGCTGTCGTAGTAGTAGCATTGGATGTTGCAGTTGTAGTAGTTACTATTGCTGTTGATATTGCTCTTGTGATTTCTGTATTTGGATTTAATAATATAGTTGGCGTATCTTCTTCAGCATTAACAGAAGCCAAGTCACGTTGGGTAGCATCGTCCATAATTCGAATACGTCTTTCTTTTCTTTTTTCAACCCAATCACTGTAATGACTACCACTAATTGCTTCAAATTCTTTGAATGATGATTTGACATCTGGTGTCCAAAAAAGAACTTGATTATTGTGTCGTACATAAACCAATCCAGTAAGAACATTATCACTCATCCAATTATGGTCTTTGCTGTACCTAAAAAGTGAAATAAAGATAAACTTTAATTTAATTGATCTATAAATTTATTTAAAAAAATTTTTTAAATAATATTAAAATATACTGACGAAATTGCAGTAGTGTTTTTAATCAAACATTCGTGACAACATCGTACTAAGAATTGCCAATATATTTTAACAGCTTTTCTGGTATAACAATACTGACATTTTGCTAATAAATTTCCAAATCGAACATATTCCTCTTCATACATTCCTTTTGGAGGAGGTAGTTGAAGACCAGGTAGAAATTGAATTCTTGAAATTCTCCAAATATCTTGTGTGATTGGAGATTCTGGCGAACACAAGAAATTATGAAATCTTTTGCAAACACCTGTTAATCTCAAAAGATCAGCTGGTGGCAAATATTCACATATTTTTATAAAAATTTCTGGTGGGATATTTGCAGCTATTGAAATTTGTTGTATTAATTTACATGAATGATCATTAGAAGAAACTATTGTTGAAGTTGAGATTGATGTTTCTATTTCAATGACGCTCATTATGATTTTTTTTTTATTTTATTTTATTGAACTATAACTATTAAAGAAAATAAATAATTAAAAATAATGTAAAACAATTTATAAAGTATTGTTATAAAAAATAAATCATTGATTATTTTTTACATACATGAGCCTTTGATTTATTTATTTTTTTTATTACTTTTCAATGGTCAATAAATTCTAAAAAGTAGAAAAAAAAATAAAGATAGGGTTAAGCCTAGAAATTTTTTATATTAAAAGGTGGAACAATGATCCATAAACAGTTCATGAATTACACAATTATTATTTTTCCTTATTTGACAGTCGTAAATACGCATAATATATTATGTAGCACAAATTGTGTTATAGTCACGTGACTACAATATATTGAATACTACTTACGTATATTAATATTATAATAGTAATAGTGTAATATTACACACATTTAATTGGATATTCACGCACGCGTAGATTTGCATTTTCTCGTGATTTTTCTACCTAAAAATGTTTACTGGTAAAGCAGTACTTTTAGCAAATCCAAATTTTGCAAAGCTTTATAAAAAATTAACCACACAATATTTGACATCTAATGGAGCAACGAAGGAAGTTGCAAAAAAGTTTAATGATGTACAATTTATTAAACATAATATCATTTTAACCATTCTTTTATTAAGTTAATAACACACATAAACATTCCTCTAAATTTTTCTATTGTAGGAAAGCTTTCTCAGTGAAAAATCGGAGTATTTAGAAGCATTGATTATATATAATGGAATAAAACAAATGACTTTGGGTAAAATTCCATTAATAAATAATAAAATAAAATTAGATGATTATGAAATGGTATTAAATAATAATTATTATAATTGGTATTATTAGTGTTATTATTGATCTATTTCATAATTTATTAACAATCATCAGATAATTAAGACACTTGAAAAGGTTTTATCATTTGCAGAATCAAGACAATATTTAAATTTTCAACCAAATGATCCTGAATTAAAAAAATTTATAAACAAAAATAAGAATAATATTAGAAGTGAAGGAGGAAGGAAAGAAGATATAGTAACAATTTTTGGATTAAAAGATGATGATTTATATAAATTGGTTAAAGGTGACCTAATGGAATTAGAAGTATGCAATTAATAATTATAAATTTGAAAAATAACAATAATATGATGATAACAATGATGATAATTCTATTATTGATTGATGAAATTCTTATTTGTGTGTACACTAAAAAGAATTCAAAAATTTATATAATCAACGCAATTGAAAATGGTTTAATAAAACAATATGAAGATATAGTAAAGTTTTATTATGCAGATGAAGGTAATTATTATTATAAGATTTTTTGAATTTGTAATTTATTATTTAATTATTAATTATCTTTAAAAAAAAAACAGAAATAAATTCAAAGTCAATAATTCCAAATGCAAAACAATTGGAAAAATTATTGAGTCAACAAATTGATGATTTAAAGTCTTCAAAGATAAATTTAACCAGAAATAAAACTTTATTGAATGAAAACTTGATGGAATATTTTAAAGTAATATGAATGATTACTATCACTACTATTAACATTAACATTAATATTTTTAATAATATTTTTTTTGCCAGATTCTAAAGAATAATTTAGCTAATCTTTGGATTTTAAATGAAGAATTCAAATGTCATCATGAAATGAAAAAAAACACTATTTTCATTAATTATTTTTCTGGTTTAATAGAATCAATTGAATTAAAAGCAAGGTTAGAAATATTGTTTATTTTTTTTGTAAATATTTTATTCATCATATTAAAAAAAATTCTAATTATAATATGTGAATATACATATATATAGAGTTCACTTATATGAAACTTTAAGAGAGGTTTATGACGATGACACTGTTAAAATGCTTAGAACAATAAGGTATTTAAGAGAAATTTTTTATAAAAAGGGTCATAATAAATGATAAATTATTGTTAAAACACTTTTGAAATTTTTTTTAAAGGAATAATTTATTGAATGAGGAACAAAATAAAATTCAAGAGTTGACCAATTTGAATAATGAACTTTTAAAATATCAAAATATCAAAGATTTTGATGATATTATAGATAATTATATTGAGATAAATAAGGAAATCAAGAAAATAGATGATGATATCAAGAGATTAAAACAATAATTAATTAACGCAAACAAAAAATAAACCATTTTCCGTGTCACATGATCTCCTTTCAAAACCCGTAAGTCATGCGACTTTCGTCCTAAAGTTTCTCTTCATTCTTTGGTTTGTTGGTAGTCAAATCCGTGTTCTATTCAGAGCTTTTGTTTTGATTCATAAAAATTCCAATGAATACCTTTTCAATCTAAATTATTCTGGTGTTCCTTTCTTAACTCAGTTAAATTTAATTCTTGTTCGAGATTATGTCCTTTTTTCTTTAAATAATTAATAAAGTCATAATCAGTAGGAACTAAACCCTTGTTAATTCAAGCTTGAACTTCTTCATGAATATCTTGCCTTTTTTTTCGTCAATCTATCTTTTCTCATAATTTTTGTAATTCAGGAGTGAAGTCAGGATGAATATCTGCTCAATTAACCATTATTTATTTTCCTTTCTTAAGAAATAAACCACTATACCAATTAATCCTACTACTCCAATTCCTCCTAAAATCCGGGTGCCGATTGTCTCTTTTTACGTCTAGCCGTGCCTGGTTTTTTCGATTTTTGGCGCGATCAACGTTTTCACCATATTTAATGTTTTGAATTGAATTGTAAAACAATGCGATGCAAACAATTGCAACCAATGATCTTTGTTTTTCAAACCTAATTTTTGGGAGAAATTTTTTTGCTTTCGCTGGGTGGTAATTTCAAAAAAAATTTTTTTTTATTTTTCTGAAAAAATTGATCACGTGATTTTTTTTTTCGGCCACAATTTTTTTTAACTATTATTATCATTTGTCCTGGTTTTTTTTAATCATGCCATTGATTTGTTTACTTTTAAGAAAAGCATTATTTGTTATTTGTTTATTACTAGAAATGATTTGAACATGCCTATACATTCATTTTGCAAAGCTGGATTGCGAGCTTCATAGACCTTGACTTTAACACTTACTTTGATCAAACCCGCCTCTATAATTATTGAATAATTGATACATTCTTTTTGCAAACTTCATAGATCTTGTCTAACACTTACCTTGATCAAACCTGCCTATATAATTATTGAATAATTGATAAAACGTCCATTTTGCAAACTTGATTTGCAAGCTTCATAGACCTTAACTTTAACACTTACTTCAATCAACCTGTCTATATGATTATTGAATAATTGATAAAGAAAGCATTCATTAAATATATTTTACAAACAGCTAAAGTTGGTGTCTGTAACCGTTTTCGCATTTTCTGCAACTGCGTGTTTTAAAGCTCGAGTTGCAACCTTTTCTGCAACCTCCGCAACTGTCTGCAACCTCTGCAATTATAATTATGATGCATAACTTGTTACAAGGAACAATTTTTTAGCTTAGAAACTATGCCCATTTAATAAAATTTTGATAAATTTCTGTTAAAGTTTTTTAAAAAAGGATAATTACAAAGATCATGTTTGAGTTAACATTTCTATATGCAATTTTACTTAAAATTTTCCATCATTTTTCAATTTTCTCAAAATTGTGACTTTGACATTGACCCCTTTTCTATTGTCCATGATCCATATATTTGAAATATAACGTTGTTTGATCAATTCTTAAGTGGATGGGTGGGGCCTGGTAATGTTGTGTTTCTAAAAGTAGGAATATGAAAGTACATGCTTTCTTGGTTAGTAGTGTCAATTTAAAATGAAATATTTTTTAGTTTTCAAGAAGAAATTTGCTAACAACAATTTATTTTTTTTTATATAATTTGAAATGATAACATTGTTTGATCAATTTCTTAAGTGGATGGGTGGGGCCTGGTAATGTTGTGTTTCTAAAAGTAGGAATATGAAAGTTCATGCTTTCTAGATTAGTAGTGTCAATTTAAAATGAAATATTTTTTAGTTTTCAAGAAGAAATTTGCTAACAACAATTTATTTTTTTTATATATATTTGAAACAAATTATTGATCTGTTCAATTAACAATAATATGCTTTGATTCTTTACATTCTCACTATATATGTTCATTCAATATCTTGTTAAATAATAAAAGGAATTAGTGCTTTTCTATTTTTTGGATAATCTTTAAAATCTTTACGATAACTTTTATGTTTTTTAATAGCCCAAAGATACATCTGAATGGATCCAACAATAGTAAAAAGATATGCTGCAAGTGATTTTGTTAAAATACATATACTAATCCATGCTAAAATTTCAAAAGAATAGTTGGGACATGAGACAAGATTAAATCCATAACCATAAGGAATTTTACGATCACGAGTACCAGGTGGTCGTAGATTACGTAAAGCCATATGAGTATTGAAATTTGAAATTTCTGCAAACTTATTTTTAAATTCCATCAAGATAATAATAATTATTATTATTGTCATTATTAGTTATATTATAAATGATTATAAATGGCCATGAAATTTTTTTCAAGAAATAAAAAATATAATTTTTATTTACCAGATAAAGTAAAATACAAGACCAAGTCAAAATTTCATAATGTTCAGAATTGGCATACCAAGGTCCATATACCCAATAAGCTAGGTTAATGCCACTAAGCAAATGATAATGTAATGAATTCTTAAAGACATTAAACATTGGCATTGTTCCATGAGAGAATCGATGTACAAATAAAGTTTCCAGTTCTCTTTTAATAAAATGCCCCATAACCATATAATAGGCAATCCTATAATTGTTGATATTCACATTACTATATATTTAAAATATATAAAACAAATCAAAATATAAATGATTGATTGATTTTTTCTTACTTTTGGATCTCACTATGTTCAAAATCTTGACCATAAATTTGTGATTTAAAATAATAAAATATTGGATGTAAGATTAATGGGCCCAAATACTCAATAAAAAACACCAATCGCCAACTAATTTGAGGTCCTTTATTAGAGATATTAATAGATTACATAACTAAACAATTAATATTATTATCATTACTTATTTTACAAATATAAGAAAAATTCATCATACCTAAATCTTTAAATAAAATTGTATCACCATCTTTGATACCATAACTTTTTAAAGTTTTTTTATCTTGCAAAAGTTGTTGAGAAAATGTTAAACGTTGTCTATCTGGATAATAAGTTTTAAATTTTTTATGAATAAGTTCTTTTAATTGGTCAGCAGTCGTGTCTTCTGAAATATCTATACTTATAGGAAATTTCTTTGACTGTTCAGAACGATTGTTAATTATAACTTTCATTTTTTAATTTGTGGAAAATGAAAATAAATTTTTTTTTTCAAGTTTGATTTGATTATGAAGATCATCTTCTTTCCTCCCCAAAAAAATAATAATAAAAATTTAAGAATTTTCATACAAAATTGGTAAAGTAAAAAACAATTTTAATTTGGTTCATTATGAGACATATAAAATTCTCAGTCCAGAGCAATACCTGATATAGAAAGATCCGTTCGTTATATAGAGAATAATGGCAACAAATAGTATAAACTTTACATCTTTATTTACTATTTAAGACCAATAAAACATTTTTCAAGTTATGATCAACATACTAGAAATAATTTTTACAACTAGATCACATGAAATTTAGAATTTATAAAGAGTCCGGCAACAAAAAGCTACCCAAGAATTAATTCTTGAAGGAAGAGGAGATGTGATGGCAATAGATTATTAAAAGAGGGAATGGAATAGTTTAGAATGAGTGGTGAAAATTGATTGATTAATTGATTGTATGTTATTGGATAGTTGGGTGGATGAATTGTTGTTGATTGGGGGTATGGTTTGATGGGAAAATGTATTAATTGGGTGGATCATGTAAGAATAATGCAATTTTATAAAGAGAAAAAAAAAGAATTAAGAATAAAGTTGCTTGGAAGATTTGGAGAAGAAACAAAGATTCAATAATAACAAGATATTGCTGATAATAAACAATAATGAAAACATTTTAACTGTTTTTTTATTTACTTCATTTTTAATAATATTAATACTAATGAATTTATAATTATCTATATTTATTTGTTTACTCATTATTATGATGGTTGTGGTGATTATTATTATTCTATTTTCTTCTTTACGCTCCTCCACTATTTTTTTAAAAAAAAAAGAAATTTAATATATAATTTAATTATTCACCAATGTAATTGATTTATTATAAAATGATGATAATACATACACAAGAATATTATTAATTGGAATATGAACTAATTTTACAAAAAATCCAATAAATCCCATTACAAAAAATCCCATTGCAACTGCTTGTGAAATCTTAATGAATTCTTTATACAATAATAATAATAATTATTATTATTAAATAGTTATTCTTATCATTCATATTATTAATTATTAGATTACCTTTACGATCAGGTTTAGTGCATCGATTTACAAACTGAGTGCCTTCTTTGATAAATTGTTTTGGCATTTCAACAAATTCTTTTAATTGATCTGCCATCTTTATTATTGTGGTTGTTATTATTGTGTTGTTTTTATTTATACTAGAAATAATAAATGTTTATTATAATTAATTTATTATAATTTAATAAAATAATATTTGTTGTAAAATTTAGAGTAGGAAAATTTAAATATCAAAAAAACATTTATATAATTTTTTAAATTAGTAAAACCACTCAAATCTTGCCACGAGGTTGGAAATTTAAATCGTGTAATAATATTAATAATGTACACAATGCAATTTTGGTTTTAAATGTGCGAGTGATCTTGTGTATATATACACATTTATTTTTTATGTGAGAAGATGATCAAATTAATACATGTTTATTAAATTTTTTAATTGATTGTATATCATGCTAAAATATAAGACGGACGAGTCCACTGAACCAATTCTAACTTGATACCATTGCCTTTT